TTATGAAATAAAGAGCAATTATGATCTAAAGGGTATCAAAATTTACAAGAAAAAAAGCTTAATATTTATTTGTTTACTTTATTAAACATTTATTTCAATGCGTGCGTGCGCAAAGCATACATTATGCATAGCCGAAATTAGAAAATTGCAAGCAGCAAACTATTTTATGTGTATTCGAGTTATTTATAATGATGAGGAATTTGATTTAAATTATATCAAAGACGGAGTACATCGAGATGAAATAACTGCATTTAGTAAGGAATTATAAGCCGAATAAAATAAAAACATCTGCCCTGAAGATAAGGATAGTGCTGACAGATCAACTTCCAGTTCATTGTGCGCTGCAACATCCCCCCACCCCCTACCACAGAGCAGCGTGAAATTGATAAACAGATTTCGGAATGGTTAGAGAAACAAAGGATATGCCTTTATCCATTTTTTGCAGCAATTCCACTTTTTGTTTGATGGACATCGAAACGTGCTTTCACTTTGTAGATCCTTTGACAGCTTCAGAATCGGAAATTCTTTTTGACATAATCGAAAGTTCAAGCTTACTTTTATAAAATTGCTCTAATAATCTGCAAAAAATAATAAGCCGGATCCAATTAGAAGATTAAGGAACAACACAATCTGCAACATTAACTAAAATAGATGATTAGATAACTTTAACTTAGCTTATACCTTATAATGCATATGCGCATGCGTAAAGGTATTATGCGTTCACGGATGCGCAGAAAGTTTGTAGCTTTGAGGTCTGGATTATATATCATTCCGGATTAAAGACTTTTGACTGTATATGACTTATTACATGTGTGTATGTATATATATATATGTATGTATGAATGCAAAAATGAACATTGCCAAAAAGTTAATTTGAATTTACTTCTAATTCATATAATGATTATGTAATTAACAGCAACTGTAGTCATCAGTTCTTTGCACATTATCATGGATATGGAATACACAGTTGAAAAATATTTGAAGTGCATTTTGTGCATTGGGCTAGTCATTGAAATTGACCCACTTACACACAACCTTTACGTTTGTAACTATACTTTGGAATTTAAACAAAAAAAAATCGAGCAAGTAGCCTTTATGACATATTTAACATTTTGGGGATAAAATAAAAATTTTTGACTCGTCATAAATCAAATATCAGTAAATGACATTATATCATGTACATAAAAGTTATTAAATAAATATATGGATAAAAACAACTATTTACAATAATAAAATCAAATTTAGACAACAGATCATTACAAAGAATAGAACTTCTCTTTGCATGTTTTTTCTCTTTAGCTTTTAGAATCACCGGAGTTGAGGTAAAAGTGATTTACTTAATAGCCATTACCTTTCTATTATTTTCCATAACTAACAATAAAGTTTAAAATGAAAAGAGTGTGAGCAACACAAAATGCAACATGGAAAAGCAATTGTCACATGAAAAGAAACATCACTTTCCCAATCTGAGCGATAACTTATTCTTGTTTGGCTTTCAGCCTGTTTACCAAATGAAGATGGTAACCCAATTTCGCAGAAGCTCACTTCCCAGAATTATTCCTTCTAATGTTATGTTTCGGCAAGAAATATTGTATGTGATAGCAGCCTTAGGAGAATAGTGAATTAAGTCGGTGCATCAGCTTAGTGTCTTTTTGTCCAATGGGACCAAAAGTTAACTGTCAGTTTTGGGCACCAGACAAAGTTTGTCTAAATCACTTGTTTTTGCATTGGCTAAATCACTTGCATTTGGATTGGCTAAATCGCTTGTTTTTGCATACAAACTGCAATTTTCATAGTAAAAATTGTTTTTTCAGGTTCTTCTGCATTTTACAATTTTAATGAAGATGTTTTGAGTTTTTATGATTTTTGCCTTGCTGCAAGGTGGGAACTGAATTGATTGAATGAGAAATATATCTCTAATGAAATTTGAGGAAATATGTTTAAATGAAGTGCAGCTAAAACTGTGTATATTTAATAAGCCATACAAGGAAGTCGTGGTGTCCACATCAGACTTTAAAAAAATATTCCAGTACTTTCTTATATTGATAGTTCCCATTATTTAAATGATGCCAATATTATTCCGAAGTTTTAATCAATAAAAAGTTAAGAACATTACTTCTAGCTATATTTTTGCTTCTATGTTCCATCAATTGCTTTTAGTATATCATCAAAAGTATTTTGTTAGCCTAAGAACGTATGTCATATAAATTTCACATGGTAGCGTTCAAGATTTTAAGGCCATGCTTTAATTATAATACACTGATAACACATGCCCAAATCAGAGTTCTCATTATGTACTAACCTTAAACCACTGTGGTTAGGACTACTAGCCATTGGGTGATATTTTATGACTTATATTGGTGATTTATCAGGGGGCCATGCCCTTGTTTAAATAATGAGGCCCATAATAATAAAGTACCAAACTTTATTAAATGTTTTACGTTTTTAATTTTTTGAAACTTATAATGGCAAACTCTTGTTTGAGGTCAGTTATAATCTGAAGTCTTGAGATTGCAATTTTTTTTTCCTGTGTGCCCATGTAAGTATGTAACAAACAGCATTTTCCACTAGTAAACTTTGGTTAGAGGCATCGTTAGATCTGATTAGGATAGACGAATCATTTAAATAGCTTACAACTGCAATGCAGTCTTTTTTACCCAATATGAGGCCTACTAGTGGCCAAGCGGTGAAGTTGCTGAACATGGGTAGCTTTGTCCAAGGTTTGAATCTGGCAAATGGGCTGGCTGAATGAGTGTTTTTGTGGTTTTCCCCATGTGTAATGTGTGTACAAGCCAGTTCGCCTTAGAAAGTCATCCATGAAGCATCCCTTGCTTTAGGCAGATAGCCCTCGAGGCTTTGCTATTAATCACACAAACCAAACTTTATCCAATTTGGTACAAAATTCTGTTACCATTGAAGCCTGCTGTTGAATGCATCTTTCATTACATGTAGCAAAAACTTTGGAGAATAGCATTGAATTTTAAAATGTTGAGAAAGGTAAATTTTTCTCTGAAACTAATATTAATGTAAAATGAGTTGTCCATTTTCAGGCTTTTATGTCTAAACACAGGATCTATTTAACAGATAAATTAATAGGCTGTTGTATGTATTAAAAAGTTATTTTAATAAAAATACCAGTAGTCATAATACAAATGCTATTAATTTTTCAGTGTTCAGGGTTAATTAAAAAATAAATATAAAAAGTTTGATATTTTCTTCTTTTAATTTGCATTTCATTTAGGAAAATATAAATATTAATTTTTTTTTGGTTTAAAATCCTCATATTAATAAAATATTCTATCCCTGTTAAGCTATACATATCTTCTGAGATAAAAACTTACTAGTTCCATTTCTTTACAGAAGAGAGCAAAGGATGTTGTAAATTTGCTATGATCACAAAAGCCTACAGCAATTTTTTTGAGTGAATTTTTGGTTTTTTTCATAAAATGTCGTTTTATATTAACCAAGATGGTAGTTACATTTTTTTTTTGAGAGTATAAAATCCTGTGTTTGAAATAGATACCATGAAATATGCTATTTGTATGTCTTTTTTCATTGTGTGTAATTTTACAATTTCTTTTCTGTTTCTAACCTTTAACAATATGCAGTAAATCTAATTTTAGTGCTCTTGTTTGGTTTCCTTGTTATATCAAATCTTATTACTTGAGCAAGCAAAAAGAGGCTTTTATCTATTCTTACATCATTTGTGTACTTAATGCATGTTTTTCACTATCTGTTCTTACTGAAAAACTAAATTATTAAAGAACTTTTGCTGCTTATTGACTTGGATCAAGTTATTTGACTAAGGTAAAGCACATGATGGCTGTCTGCCAGTTTAACATTCTAGTCTTGATTGTGGGCACTTGGATGAAATCAAATGATTTTGTGTCCCTTTTCTTTTCCCTCTAACCTCTTTCGAAAGGGCTTTCAAATGAATAGATTTTAATTACCTTTCCCTTCCAAAAATTTAGAAACATTTATATATATGATTTAGGATTTTCTAATCAAATAACTGGCAAATTCTGCTATTTGCCATGCTGTTGACAGATTTTTGTCCTTTTACAATTGATGAGTAAGATAATTTTCTCTGTACTAAAACAGTTAATGATATGACCACATCTATTGTGTCTGTAAAGCACCTTTGCGATATTGCTTGTAAAGTTTTTTAAAACAAAAAAAAAAAAAATATGGACTAGGATGAGCTGAAAAGTTAATAAATAAGTCACATGCTGCGATAATATGAATAAAGCCTTGTACAGAGAATGAATTATCTTGTTGCTAGCACTAGGTGAATATTCTTGGAAGATATCTCATCTATAGCAATAAAAGTGTTAAAAATTATCATGTTAAGCCCCATCTCATTATATTTTTATTTCAGTTAATAGAGAAATATGTTAGATTTTCTGTAAATTTAATTTCGAAGTTTTTTTGTGAGTACAATACCGTGTTAAGTGTGTATAACCTACACCATAGTCAGATTTCTAAAAAATTCATACCATTATTAATCAGTGTAATATACCAAATACATAGTTAAATCTAAGATATTTTTGAAATTTTGCTTTAAAAATATAACTTGAATAACTGGAGAAAATACTCAATGTACTGTCATTAATCATTACTGATAGCTTTGGTAGCACTGAATAATTTTTTATCCATTAAAAATTATTCAGGGTAACTGGTAATTTAAATGTCTCTGTATTTTATATATATTAAAGTATTGGCATTAAAATATTTTAAATTATTTATGAGATTGTGTATATGCAGATTCATGCTCATTAGAAAGAGACTGTTAGTTTACTCTTGCTAACTTGTCCTTCAAAATGGATTGAATCGTACTTGTTAAATTTATGTAAAATTAATACTGCTTATCATTGCTTTGATTCAGTTGAATGCATCTGTTTTGTATATTGCTTTATGATTGTTTCTACGTGCATTTATTTTAAGATTTCAGAAACAGAAAATTTTATATTAAGAGTATTTTTATTTGTATTTTCATTCAGCAATCCTGATGCTGAGGCACCACCTTTTCCAGAACCATTGTCAGATGATGGTAGCAGACCTTCTGATGAAAGTGATTTTAGTGATTAATATTGTTAACAATTATCTGTGTTATCTAATTGAAAATCTTACCTTTCCCTGTGAACCATTGTTGTTGCAAAAGCTGCATTTTCATAATAATTTTTTGAATCATTGCATCTATTTTTAGGTTTTTCTATTGCTTATTATTTCATAATCATTTTTTCCATAATTCTGATATTTATTAACAATAAATTATGTTGTATATTTATTTGTGAAAACTTGTAATTTAAAATTAATTTTGATTAATGTAGGGTGTACATTTTAATTTATATTTTTGTGTTTAAATTACAAATAACTTTTCATGTAACATTCAATATTTAATAATTTCAAGACTTAAACAAGTTCTAATTGATGCAAATGTAAAATATTATTTATATTATATAATAAATATATTATGTAATATAAATAATTTATATATATAATAAATTAATAATTTATATTATATAATAAAATATATTATATAATATAAATAATAATATAAAAGTATTATATGCAAATATTTTACATTTGCATATAATACTTTTTTACAATAATACCAACAAAATCTTGCCTTGTTACAATTTAGCAACTGCCAAATTAACATGTATTATCCATTGTGATTCCATTTTTTTTTAGCACTTCAGCAAACAACTCTCCCCTTAAAAAGGCAACTGAAAAGGGAAAAGTTATGAAACTGACATTCATTCTTCTCACTTGTTTATAATGAATTTATTGCACAGCTGTTTGCAGGTGAAATAAGCAGGTTACTTCATTTGTTGTTTTGGCACACAGTTATGACTAGTACCCCCTTAAACAAAAATTACTGTTATTTTGAATAAATTCATAAAACTGAAACGTGAATGATTTGTTATAAATGGTTTATAATTTCAAAATTTTATGTGTGTATACTTTGATTACTTGGTAAATGCATTTATAATATATTTATTGCATGTTATATCATTTAGAAATTTGAATTTTTTAGAATCCTTGAAAATTCAAAAGTGTTTTTAAAACTTCAATGCAGCATTTGCAACAGATTGTTTTCCCATCATTACTGTTTTTCTGTACAGTTGTTATGAATATTATATTTGTTTTCATAAAATACATGTGCCAATATTATAATTATAAAAAAATTCTGACCAATTTAGTTTTCTGATTATATTTATTAAATATAATGTATCATATTTTGCTTAAATTTTGTGCATTATGTTTCTGATGTACTTTTACTTGCAATTATGCAGGTTTTGAATTTATTCTATTTTTATTCACTGCATTAACATATTTGTAAATTTCTGAGGCTATATTAAATCATCTTGAAATGATTATAAATAATTTAATCATTTTTAAATACTGTGGCATTTATATTGGTATGTCAATAATTTTTATATGTGTTTTTTCAGGATATATCTTACTTTTTTCATACCTTTTAAATACATTTGTGGATTCTAGTAACTGCTTTTGGAGACATATTTCTTTTAAATTAAATATACTTACAGCAGTATATATTACTTTGCCTCGACATTCAAATTAGAATTTGTTGAATTTCTTCAAATTGTTGATACATATGTGATCTTATTGTTAATATTTGTATCATGACTGAAACTATGCAGAAGTTTGCCATGATATATTGATTAGAATGTAAAGTAGAAATGTGCTTGATAAAATATATTCAGAAGTGTTACTGAGCACGTCTATGAGTGGCAAAAGTATGTTTACTAGTGATGTTTTATACTAATCACTGTAAAGAACATGTATGAACTGTTAATGAAGTTTATATATGAGATGTAGTTTTCTACCTTAAATGGCAAAAAGGTATATAGCATAATCTTTTTGCAAAAGGTGTTATCTTAAAGTTGTAATCTATTTTTCAGTTTGGGACTTGAATAAAAGGTTAACTACTGAAATTTGAAACCTGTAGAATGAAAAATTTTTTTAATAAAAATGTGCACTGTTTTCTTTCTCTCTGCAATATCTATTCTAACTTCCTGCCTTTTTTCCCTCCCCGTTTGTAAATATTTCATTTAAAAATTTTATGTACAGTTTACATATATCTTAAAAGGTGTAAAATTATAGGTACACTGAGAATTTTTGTATTAACAAGCAATTATGTAGTTACTATATAGCTGAAAATATCTGGAAAAGGCATTGGAATATTTTCATGAATTTAAGGAAGCTTAAAAATAAGAGCAGTAATGTTATTATCATCATTATTTATATACATGAGCACTTACTATTTTTTGTTGTGTGCTAAATCAAAATTGTCTGCAGTTTACAAATGTCAGCTCTGTCTTTCTGGTTTATTTCCTTCCTTTTTAGTAAAATGATTCTTTTATTTTAAACTACATTAATTGATATTGTAGTACTTTAAAATTACTGACATTATAATATGTATTTATATACTTTAAAAATGCTGGTTTTGTAAATAATATGATCTACCTATTTTTGTAAATATATAATAATATTTACTGCTAGAAAATCTGATATTTATCCCGAATAAATATTCTTTTAGTCAAAGGAGTAGACTTTTTCAACATACTAGAAAGAAATTTCTGTTTGATTATCCTCTTTCACAGATTTCGTTTACAGTTTTGCTTATAATTTATACTATTTTTTGTTGGATTTATAAATTAAATTATTCATGTAAAAAGATCTGTTTCTTAAATTCAGTATTTGAGTGGATAAATATATAGTTTACTGATTCTATATAAATATTGAAGTGGGCTAATCTAATGTTTATGCTAACTGATTCCATCCATTCTTAATATTGATTAACTACTTGGTGTGCAGTATTTTTTTAAATATTAAATACGGAATTTATATTTCTCTATATTTAAAAGAATTTTTATGTTGAGATTATGTATGTAACTGCAAAATTTCTTAATAACAGTTTCCAATTGGTAATCAGAAATCTAGCTAGTACTAGAGGTACCACTAGTTTAAATGGTGACTGTGTATTTGAAATAGATTCATACATACTCACCTGTTTTGAAAACTTTTTGAATTTGCCTCTTTTTATACATTGAATAGTTTTAGTTAGTTAATGTTATACTTTTAGGGAAATTTATTTCAAAATTCATTATGGTATGAGTGTAAAATTCATATTCTTTTCCTAATCTACTTAAATGTTTAGATTCAAAATGTTAAGTTAATTTTCTAAGTGATACCAAACATTTGTACGAATTGAAATAATTGGAAAACTTGAAGAATTTACCTTGATTTAATTTAAATTGTAAGTTAAATATGACTGAGGAAATTTATTACAAAGCATAGCTTGTCATAATATAGTAGGAAATGTGTAAAGATGTATATTGATTCTTTTCAAGACCCAGACTGAAATTCTTACTTTATGTATTGTAATTATGGTTCAGCTGATCTCTTTTGAATCAGATTTAAATAATGTAAATTTTGAAAGTGTTGATTGTTGACTTTTATGTGTAGAAACTGTTATTTCTGAGACATTGCTCAAGTTGCAGCTAACAGAGACTGCCAGAATTTTCTTCAGTCAAACTCGTCTGAGTTTTGAAATGCTTAGGAAAGAATTGGATGTTTATACCATTTTTAAAAGTCTTTTCCAGTATGTCATTGTCATATAAAGGAGCTCCCATATGAGTTTTTTAAAACGTTTTTAATGTATAAGTCTTTCATTAAAGTTAATTGTTAAATTTTAGAATTTTTTCAGCACATGAATCCCTTATATTCTATGTTAATTATTATTTAGTATTTCTTTTTTGTCAGAAAGTTAAATCTTATATGTCTTTCTAGTTTAAAAACTCACAAAACAATAACTTATTTTCAGTGTAATTTAACCCTCTGAGCAACATGATCACTTGTTATCTGTTCATGAGATTTTTTGCTACTCTTATTATGTAGAATATTTTGTTCTCTTTTTTTTTATTTTTATAATCAATATAACACTCTAATGGATGGAATTTTTTTGGGGCGATGTATATATTTGATTCTGGCAAAACATGCCAGAGCTATCTGCCCAAGAAAATGTCTTTATAGAGGATTTTATAAGTCATGTCCATTTTACAAATGGAGAAAATCTCAAAATGACCATGCAACCAGCCCATTCGCCTGGAATTGAACTCAGGTCAAACAAACTGTTCTGTGATTTCACCACTCGGCCACTGCCACATATCAGTTAAATTCTATGAAAACAAAGGGAAATATAATTATATATATCTAATTAAGAATTATTGTGCAAATACTTTATCACCTAATAAAAAAAGCCTTGCTAATTAAGTTGGGTTATCGGAATATGGAAAAGCACACACAAGCACACTGCTTAAGGGGATGGATGCCTTCATCGAGGGTTTTCTAAGGGAATGTGACTTGTATTCGTGCCATGTCACTCAGAGGGTTTTGCTGTTTGGAAAAGCAAATATATGGTTAATAAGAAAACTAATAATCACATTTGTAATAGAAATTAAAATAATTGCGTATGTTCATTAAAAGGTATAGTTCATTTCAAAATTAATCAGATTAGTGCATAAAAAAGCAGTGTCACCATTCTCTTGCAAGGTCACGTTTTTTGTCTGTATGATTATGTTATTTCAGTTAACACTTGCGAAGGTATTCAATAAGTTTTAAGCCTAACGTACATCTACAAGATAAATGGTAAAATTAAATATTGAGTTTTCTACAATCTTCCCATTGATTTGAATGTACTTGGATGATTGATTATGTTAAGGCATCAACTTCTGGAAGAAAAAACTTTATCACTAGTCTGAAATTATTCCTGAATGGTATCATTTATGCCATTATCTTTACCAAAGTTTTAGTTTATATATATATGTATAATATATATATTGCATATTTTTGTGGATTTGTTTTCCCCAGTTGTGGTATAAAGATTAACATTTGTGCACACATAGTTCTGTTTTACTGTGAATTAGTACAATATCATTTGAAATAAAATTCATGAGCCATGAGTTTTATGAGTGTTACAGAGAGTCTCTAATTAATTAAAAAACATTTCATGGAGCTCTCAGAGGGCATAGAAACATTCGCTTGATATTATAAAGATAACTTGCCAATGTTTAGGTCTGACCTCTCCCTTGATGAAATTCAGACATGGGGCATTTTATTTCAATGCATTTTTAGCTATTAGCTACAATTCTTTCAAATTTTGGCCTACAAAACTTTTACTTTTCAAAAATCTCTTTTTACTAGTTGCCTTCTATCGGAGCATCATTATTATTTTATGAAATTCCTTATTTTCATAAAATTT